TTTGTTCCCCAGCCACCGTGCACAGTCCTCCGTGCAGTCTCTGGCTAGCAGGGTGATTTTTAGGTTAATTCTTAAGTCCTACCACCACAGGAATCTGCGAGAGTGCTGTCTCTTTAACTATCCAAAATAGTCAAGCCACTTTTTAAACCTACAAAATGGCTGCGCCCTCCGGATCAGCAAAAGTCCACAGCTCAGCCCACCTTTCTCTTCACCTTCTCCGTTTGTTCCCCAGCTACCGTGCACAGTCCTCTGTGCAGTCCCTGGCTAGCAGGGTTGATTTTTAGGTTAATTCTTAGGTTCTACCACCACTCGGAAATCTCCAAGCAGTCTGTGCCGTCTGTGCCTTCAGGTTCGCTCTGGTCGCTGCCAGAGCGCAGCTCCGTGTGTCTCCTTTTTTGGTATTTTCACTCAACGTCTTCTGCTAGTTGATGTTTAGTCCACTTTTGTATTCTTCCCTTCAAGGCTCAGGGATGCATGATTATCTTCTGTGTCTGTGTTAATTGGTTTCCCTTTTCTTTGTTGAAGAGGGTCTGTGCAGTTCTTCTGCCTAGTCCGCCATCTTCCTCTTTCCTTCTTGGGTTGCATTTTGTAAAATATGTTTTCTGTGAGGTATCCAGGTATGAGTTCTGTGATTCTCATCATGCTTTCTTTACCCAGAAATCTTAGACATGTATCTTTAAAATGTTTGGTAATAAGGAAAAAATAACAGTCATATCTTTACAAATTATAGAAGCCTTTTGCAGTATGGACTAATCCAAATTTTGATACTTCAGTTGTCCTCATTAAAATTTCTTTGTGCCCCACCCCTACTCTGCCCTGCTTTGAGGTGAGAAACCTGAGGAAAGGTTAGCTAGAAGAATTTGGGGAGGAAGAAAAAAGCCATTGATTTGAACTGGAAGAGCAGATGGTAAGAAAGATCTTAGGGAGTGTTAGGAGATAATGGGAAGGATGCCTTTGGGATGGAAGAAAGCAAGCATTACTGCTATTTTAGTGTGTGGAGCAGAGATGGGGATTAAAATATTTGAGATAAATACAAACGATAAGACTAAGGAAACATTCTTTCTGAACAAAGAAAATGGTCTCATTCTAAGATTAAAGTTTCTTAAGGAGAAAAATTCTGCTTTTTAATAGCTACATTCTTTTTAGAATCCTTTTTTTTAAAAATAATTTGTTTTTTTAAAGAAGAGTACATATATAAGACCTGCATTTGTCTCTTAGAAATTTCCTACAGATAGCCACTATGGTAACTATGAATATGTGTTTGTGTTTTTCCCTCTAGAATCTCCCTGGAAAAAGACATGAATGTCTGCAATCATATTTCCTGACAAGAAGTTGATATTAAAGAGGGAAAGGAAATAACAACTAGTGAGCAGAATTTCGAGCAACCAGGATTTTGTAATTGTCACTTCCAACTACAGACTTCTGTTGCCTACTTTTAAAATCAGAGATAATATCAACATTCAATCCAGACAAAGAAAAGGATTCTTTTCTTCTGTATTTTTTTGAGATCAAAGATACTGCAATGTCTAGGAAACAAAGTCAGAAGGGTAAGATTACATGTGGGCATACATTTTTAAAAGCCCTATTGTGAAGTAATGATTCCTATTCATATTGGTATATTTAAAAACTGTTCTTTTAATAGTGTTTTTCAGTAGTTCTACTTTACCTTACCCAGTACAGTAATACTGATAGTTATAATTGTAATTTCATCTTTTTGTGTCACTGCGATTAATTTTAGAAGAATATAGAACTCATAGCTTTTATTCATTGTGTCTTTAACTTTCTACGTGTTCTTTGGGCTATGAGATTGCAGCTTTGTATATTAGTTGTCTAGGAATTACTGATTTAGAGTAGTTATAAAATTCAGAAATGATTCTGTAGTGGAATGCTGAATATTAATTTAACAGTGGTTTTCTACTATTGTGCACTTAACTAAATTGGAATACGCTTGCAGGAAAGCCAAATTCATCTTGCAACTGCACTTGTTGGAGAATGAGCATATGTTAAGGGGATCTTGTAGGAGATAACCTACTGCAGGATATTTTGTGTTCTGTGAGTTGACATTTCCTTGGAGACAGGAAGTGGAGCAAGAGTAAATGCTTCCAGTTTTTGTTTCCTTCTTTAGTTTTCCTTCCGGGATTGTTAAAGTAAAATTTAAGGTGCAGAGAGACAGGAAGTATCAAGAATAGTTACAGGGAGGGAAAGGACAACAAAGACTCTGTAAAACTCCCTGTTTCAGTTTCTCTAGAATAGCTGCAAAAATTTAAAGGAACAGCTTTAAACAATAGTTTGAGAACTATTGTATAAAACTGAAACATGCTTATTAAAAGACCCCCTTTACCTATCTTGGCTTTTAGCCCTCATTTAGTCTTTAAAGATAATATTTAATTTAAAAAAAAGCTATAGATTCAAGTCTAATGTGTTGAATATGAGGGAAATGCTATTAAACTTAATTTTGATTTGATAGTTTAAAATCTCATTATGATAAGAAAATGATATACCAGAGTTTGTTGTGATTTTGAAGGCTATGGTTTCATTATATAGTAAAGCTATATGCTGAAAACTTGAGCTCTAAGGAATCATTAGATTACTAAAGAAGCCAAACTGTTCTATGGAATGAGATTTATCAACTAAAAAGCTTTTTGCCCAAGTTTGTTTCTTAGTCATCATAATTCAGTTTGGTTTCTTTTCCATTTACGCTTTAAACATTGAACATCTGTTTTCCTACTGCAAATGAGAAATGCTATGATAAAAATAGGATCCTGGACTTGAAAATAAAATAATTTCATTTTAAAAATTGAGCATTTAATTTATCCTTAAAAAGTTTAACTTCAGCACATTGCCCTTTGACTTTTTTAAAACTAGAGAGCTTTTTGTTTTCCATGTGTTTTGCCAGAGCTTTCAAAAAAATAATTGCTCTTTATAATTTGTGTCTAATTACTGTAAAGTGAATCTAAATTTTAGGTCACATCACAGACATTAAGTGCTGACAAATTGAACTTAGCCTGAATTTACACTTAGTTGGGAATAAGAAAAGCTCATATGTTGGTAGAACTTTCTCTGAAAGAAATCTATGTATACATGATATTTGAACCAAAAAATATAAATTGCTTATAAAATTTTATTTCATTTATGTGTTTAAAATTTCATTGCTTTTGGTTGTGTAAATCTGAATATTGTGTAATTATACTGACTTTTCCAGTTTAGGTTTAAATACCTTAAAAAGAGAGGCATTGTGATATTTTTTGTTTTCCAGTATCATCTTATTTACAAACTTTCATTTTTAGTGAGTTATACTTTTTATTCTATATAGCTTTGTGTTTCTGAAATGTATGTCAGTGAAGATATATTTGCTTTAGTTATTATTAAAACTGGTTAGTACAAGATGAAATTAGAGTTCCTTCAAGATTCTTGGGAGCTCTGGGGGTGTAGTGCCTAAGGCATTTGACTGCTAACCAGAAGGCTGAAGGTTGAAACCCACCAGCCGCTCCTCGAAAGGAAGACTGGGCAATCTACTTCCGTAGAGATATACTGCATTGGAAACCCAAGGAAGGGTTGCTGTGAGTCAGAAACGACTTGACAGCAGTGAGTTTTGCTTCCCACCCCCTGCCCAGGATTCTTAGCTTAAATAATTTATCACCAGCAAATGGAAGGAAAATATCCATTTTTGAGTGTGGTCTGACTCAACTGCTATCAAGTTGATTCAACGAATAGCAACCTGTCCTTGGGCTTCCTAGGCAATATCTCTATGGAAGTACATTGCCCAGTCTTCCTTCCGAGGAGCAGCTGGTGGGTTTGAACCACCGGCCTTCTGTTTAGCAGTCAAATGCCTTAGGCACCAGATCTCTAAATCAAATTAAAATTTTAAATCAAACTAGCTTGAGCAACAAAGAAGAAATAAATACATTGGCAGATAACTGGAAGTTAAAAGGGCACATCTGGCTTTTAAATACAGCTAAATTCATTATCTTTTCATCCCTTAATTCTGTTTATTTTTGTCTATTTTGTATAGACCAATTCTTCAGCTGTCAATCTCTCGTCTCACATCCTAGGTTAGCAAATTCAGGGAAAGAGGTGACTCTCAATAATAATTTTGGCAGGAAAGTCCTGGGTAATAATCTTTGACCCCATTTAAATCATGTGCCCATTCTCAAACCAATCATCTTGGCCAGGGGAATGGAGTTTTCTAACTATCTAGGCATTGGTTATATGACCAGTCCAGGGACTGGTAGAGTCTACTTTACCAGAAGAATATGGAATGAGTTTTCCATAGTAAAGGATGGTATTTTCTTTTCCTAGAAGAAAATGGAGTAGAGATGCTGGCCAAAAAGAATGCCCTCTCTAGTGCTTTTGTGCATGGATAAGTTTATTAACATTCCCTAGTGAAAAATTTAAATTGAACTGATTCTTCATGTCACAAGTAGAGGAATAGCGTTAATTTTTCTGTCCTTTCATATATTTACATATCAGCATTCTTCGCCAACACTACAACTCAGAAGCATCAACTCTTCTTCAGTCTTCCTTATTCATTGTCCAGCTCTTAAAAGCATATGATGCGATGGAAAGTACCATGGCTTGAATTAGGTGCATTTTAGTCTTCAAGGAGATATATTTGCTCTTCAGCAGTTGAAAGAGGTCTTTTGCAACAGATTACCCAATGCAATTCATCTTTTGATGTCTTGACTGCTGCTTCCATTGGTGTTGGTTGTAGAACCAAGTGATACGAAGTCTTTGACAACTTCAGTCTTTTCTCTTTCTATCGTGATGCTGCTTATTGGTCCAGTTGTAAGAATTTTTTTTTCTTTATATTGATATGTAATTCGTACTCTAGACTATAGTCTTTAATCTTCATCAGTAAGTGCTCCAAGTCATTCTCACTTTCAGCAAGCAATGTTGTGTCTGCATATCATAGGTTGTTAATAAGCCTCCCTCCAATCTTGATGTCACATTCTTCATATAGTCCAGCTTCTCGGATATTTGCTCAGCATACAGATTGAATAAGTATGGTGAAAGGATACAACTCTGATGCACTCCCTTCCTGACTGTAAACCGTGCAGTATCCCCTTGTTCTGTTTGAATGACAGCCTCCTGGTCTATGCACAGGTTCCTCATGAGTACAATTAAGTGTTCTAGAATTCTCATTGTTCTCAGTGTTATCCACAATTTGTTAGGATCACCACACTTGGATGCCTTTGCATAGTCGCACAAGTAAACATCTTTTCTTGCTTTGAGGCAAGATCCATCTGACATTAGCTGTGGTGTCCCTCGCTCCACATCCCCTTCTGAATCCAGCTTGCATTTCTGGAAGTTCTCTGTCAATAAACTGCTGCAACTGTTTTTGAATTATCTTCAGTAAGATTTTACTTGTGTGTGATATCAGTGATATCATTTGATAATTTCCACGTTGTGTGGGATCACCTTTCTGTGCAGTGGGTTCAGATATGGATCTCTTCCAGTCAGTTGGCCAGGTAGCTAGCTGTCTTCCAAATCTCTTGGCATAGCTGAGTGAGTGCCTCCAGTGTGGCATCTGTTTGTTGAAACATCTGAATGGGTATTCCGTCAATTCCTGGAGCCTTGTTTTTCACCAGTTCCTTCAGTGCAGCTTTGATTTCTTCCTTCAGTACCATTGGTTCTTGAACGTATGCCACCTCCTGAAATGGATGATCATCTATCAATTCTTTTTGATATAGTGACTCTGTGTATTCCATCCATCTTCTTTTGATGTTTCCTGCATCATTCAACATATTGCCCATGGAATCTTTCAGTATTGAAACTCAAGGCTTACATTTTTTCTTCAGTTCTTTCAGCTTGAGAAATGTTCTTCCCTTTTGGTTTTCTAACTCCAGCTCTTGGCACATTTCATTATAATTGACCTTGTCTTCTCAATCTGCTCTTTGAAATCTTCTGTTCACCTCTTTTATCCTGTTGATTCTTCCATTTGCTTGCTACTCTTTGTTCAAAGGCAAGTTTCAGAGTCTCCTCTAACATCCACTTTGGTCTTTTCTTCCTTTTCTGTCTTTTTAATGATGTTTTGCTTTCTTCATGGATAACGTTCTTGGTGTCATCCCACAGTTTTCTGGTTTTCAGGCACTGGTGTTCAGTACATCAAATCTATTCTTTAGATGGTCTCTAAATTCAGGAGGGATGTAATCAAGGTCATATTTTGGGTCTCGTATACTTCTTTTAATTGTCTTCAGTTTCAGCTTGACCTTGCATATGAGCAGTTGATGGTCTGTTCTACAATCAGCTCCTGGCCTTGTTTTGGCTGAAGATACTAAGCTCCTCCATCACCTCTTGCCACAAATGTAGTCAATCTGATTCCTGTGTACTCCATCTGGTGAAGTCCATGCATGTAGCTGCCATTTAAATGTGCTGTTGAAAAATGGTATTTGCAATGAGTAAGCCACTGGTCTTGCAAAATGCTATCATGTGATCTCTAGTGTCATTTCTATCACCACGACTATATTTTCCAACTACTGGTGATTCTTCTTTATTTCCAACTTTTGCATTCCAGTCACTAGTGATAATTAACACATCTTGAATGCGT